TCCGCTCTGGCTGCCATGGGCCCGAGTCCAGATGCCGAGGTCCTAACCCCGAGCTGGGACGTACACTGGATTTGGAGTCAGGCCCTCTGACCGGGCCATGTGGTAACAAGAGGCCCTAGGTTGGGGCACGATGCAATCTGCCTGGCGGCCTTGTGAGAGGAGGGGAGCGGGACACAGAGATGCCGGGGTCACACGTGTGCTGGGGAAAGACCACTCGAGGACACAGAGAGAGGCGGCCATTAAAGCCAGGGACGGAAGCCTTAGCACAACCAAGGGGCATTTCTCAAAGTGTCACTAGCCAGCCTGGTCCTTGCTTTAGGGACCACGAAAACTAAAACTAAAGCAACGGGAAGGATCTCCAGGCAAAGGCTCTAATTGCCCAGCAGGAGGATACAGGAGAACTGCGGTCTGGCCTGAGGGACATTTCTCAAAGCTTCCAGTCTTCATGCTGAGGGATGCACGTTTATCTTTGGTTTGAGAACAAGATTCAGGTGTGGTGGAGTCTGGGGCTGAGTGAGTCGTCAGGAACATGCATAGAGCATTTTCTTTTGGCCATAGGACAGTGAGCTTGCTGTGCAGCTGGAGAAGTGTGAGATTCTCATCTGGGAGATGCAAATTCTATGAAGCCAGAGGATGGTTCGGAGCAAGCAGGGAGTGAAGGCAGGTGGTGAGTGCTGGGGCAGCTGCACAGCAGGCCGGAGGGAGAGGTGGGCATAGAAAGGCCCATCCAGCCCGAGATTCGGAGGCCAGAGGACACCGGGAGCAACACGAGAGCGGGGACGGACGCCACTCACTGGAGAATTTTCTGCAGGATGCTCTTGTAGTACTTGGAATTGTCATCCAGTAGGGGCCAAGGTTCGAAATAGTTGTAGCCACAGTTCACAAAGTTTGTCCAACAGTATGAAAAGTCTGAGAAGAAGAAGGGAGAAGACGTCAGAACCCCCCAGTCTTTGTCACCTGAGCCTCCAGGCTGGGTGCTGTGCTAAGCACAGGGACCCCCATGTGTACTGTGTGAGCAGAAACCGTTCCCCCTTCATGGTCACCGTGCCGTGTACCCCGCACCCTCACACTGAGGGGTGTTGGTCCGAGTCCCCTGTATCTCCTGCAGCCTTCACAGGCCCATTTCTCACCTGTATCAAACATGACAAACAACCTGGCACCTCCCGCAGCCAGTGTTTTAAGCCCCTCCCTATGTGGGGAGTCCGGGTCGCAGCAGTAGAGCTTGGAGAAAAAGATGGTCAGTGTCACATTGCGGTGACCAGCCAGGAATGTTGTCAACTCTTCGGCACACTCTGAGCAGGGGCTCCAGGACATATACAAGGTGACCTGGTAGGAATTACCAGGGCACAGCCAGTTGTCATGGAACCAGGAGAGGAAGCGAAGCTCTGCATGCAATCGTGTGTAGGGGTGGTCCTGGGAGAGGCGAGAAGGGCCAGGTCTGCGGTTAGAGAGGCAGGCAGCTCAGGGAGGGGACACGGTTTAGGGAGGGGACGGGGCAGATGCCGGGGGTCCCAGGCATCGCTTTTGGGGACGCACTCATGTCTGCATCCCTCCCCAAGCTCTCACCGTGGCCCTCCCTCCCCACACACACGGACCCCTCATCCATTCAGCCCCTCCCGGGAAGCAAGCAAGCACACTGAGCTCTGGTCTCCATCTCATCCCCCTGCCATCCTAGGAAGGGACACAGCTCTTCCCATCGGGGTCCATGGTGATGGGTGAGACAGGACTTGTCTGGCTGGAGGCAGCGGCCTCTGTGACATACAGGGCTCCCCGCCTACCTCGTGGAGCGCCCCCTAGTGACTAGACGGGGTCTATATAATAATATGGCAGGTATACTCCACTCAGTAAGGCATTCACATTTATTCCATTCATACCTAGCAACTTTTTAAACTGTGGGCACTAGAGAAATGGACACACAGAGGGCCCAGCCCCCAAACACCAGGAAAGCTGAGGTCTGGGAGACAGAGGGGCAGGGGTGTGGCAGGTCATTTGCAGGTGGCCATTGGGGTGGCACTGGGACTGCAGGTGCTGATCACCTGGGAGCCCCAGAGAGGCTGGAGCAGCAGGATCAGGGAGAAGCGGGATCTGTGCTCAGTGACAGCAGATCCGCACTGTGGAGGCTCAGGGCTGGCAGGGCCAGAACCAACCAGCCCAGTGGGCGCAAGACAGATAAGGCCCCGTGGGCTCGCGGTGCCTGACCATGGAGATGCCCTGACCTCGGGGACCGCTAGGTGTGTGGCCAAGTGACACAGGCCAGGCACAAGCGCTGCTAGAGTGCAATAACACCTGTGAATGAGGCCAGCTGGGAGAAGTCACAGGGTGTCATCGACAGGGTGCAGGGCAGCCAGGCTGGACCAGCAGGGCCCAGGACTGCACCGTGTGGCTTTTACTGATCCTTTGTTCTGCATTCTCACCCGGCCTAGCTCTCACCTGTGCTAGAGGGGAGGCTGGAGGTTACCTGATTTTGAAAGACCCCATTGCGAAGAAATCTATTTTTCTTCTTGCTTTCTATTGTATAGCACAGGAAGGTCTTATTCCGTCCTTTAGCAAAGCAGAGGTTGTTGAAGTGGAAGTAGAATGTTTCTTTATGTAGCTTTCGCATCGGCTCTCTGGACACAGGAGAGAAAACAGAAACTCCAGAGGGGCCCTGGGGTGACTCCAAGCCACAGTCCACTACACACAGGACCCCAGAGTCCCATGGATGGCGCCTCCCCGCAGCCCTCCAGGCCCTGAGAATCCTGCAGACTTTCCAGGCTGGAAGACAGGAGGGCAGAGGAGGGCATGGGCCAGACGGGCCCTTCCACCTGAGGCCCCGCTCTGCTGCTTCTAGTGGGACACCGCACCGCCCTGTGTTCCTGCCCTTTCATCCCAAGCCAGGAGAAAATGTCCAAGACACAAAGCCCTGTCAGCCTGAAGGAATACCTTCTAACCTCCAGTCCTGTTCACTCCTGACTCTCCACCTCTGTGGGCTACATCTGTTGAAAAGTCAGGGTAGGCCCTCAGTTCACACACAGCAGCCACTCTGGTGGGCACTTCCTGTCTGGACACATGGGGGCCACCTTTTAATAGATGGGGAGCTGCAACCACACAAGTGGGAGTCACTTGCCAGTCACTTGGTGGGCGGAGCTGGGTCCTGCATGTCGGCAGTCCCCATGTGGTGGTTCCTCTCTGGCTAGGGATGGGGAACAGGTCAGGGGTGGTGGTGGGGATGGTGAACAACGGGGAGGGCTCCGGAGTGCAGCAAAACCTGGGTGGAAGCGGGTGTCAGGTCAGGAACCCCGAGAGACCGACTCACAGGAGGAACAGCGAAAAGCGGGTGTGGTCAGGAACCCCGAGAGACCGACTCACAGGAGGAACAGCGACCCTACCAGTCCCCACCCACACACAGGAGCACAAGATCCGCTCTGGCTGCCATGGGCCCGAGTCCAGATGCCGAGGTCCTAACCCCGAGAGGGGACGTACACTGGATTTGGAGTCAGGCCCTCTGACCGGGCCATGTGGTAACAAGAGGCCCTAGGTTGGGGCACGATGCAATCTGCCTGGCGGCCTTGTGAGAGGAGGGGAGCGGGACACAGAGATGCCGGGGTCACACGTGTGCTGGGGAAAGACCACTCGAGGACACAGAGAGAGGCGGCCATTAAAGCCAGGGACGGAAGCCTTAGCACAACCAAGGGGCATTTCTCAAAGTGTCACTAGCCAGCCTGGTCCTTGCTTTAGGGACCACGAAAACTAAAACTAAAGCAACGGGAAGGATCTCCAGGCAAAGGCTCTAATTGCCCAGCAGGAGGATACAGGAGAACTGCGGTCTGGCCTGAGGGACATTTCTCAAAGCTTCCAGTCTTCATGCTGAGGGATGCACGTTTATCTTTGGTTTGAGAACAAGATTCAGGTGTGGTGGAGTCTGGGGCTGAGTGAGTCGTCAGGAACATGCATAGAGCATTTTCTTTTGGCCATAGGACAGTGAGCTTGCTGTGCAGCTGGAGAAGTGTGAGATTCTCATCTGGGAGATGCAAATTCTATGAAGCCAGAGGATGGTTCGGAGCAAGCAGGGAGTGAAGGCAGGTGGTGAGTGCTGGGGCAGCTGCACAGCAGGCCGGAGGGAGAGGTGGGCATAGAAAGGCCCATCCAGCCCGAGATTCGGAGGCCAGAGGACACCGGGAGCAACACGAGAGCGGGGACGGACGCCACTCACTGGAGAATTTTCTGCAGGATCCTGTTGCAGTACTTGGAATTGTCATCCAGTAGGGGCCAAGGTTCGAAATAGTTGTAGCCACAGTTCACAAAGTTTGTCCAACAGTATGAAAAGTCTGAGAAGAAGAAGGGAGAAGACGTCAGAACCCCCCAGTCTTTGTCACCTGAGCCTCCAGGCTGGGTGCTGTGCTAAGCACAGGGACCCCCATGTGTACTGTGTGAGCAGAAACCGTTCCCCCTTCATGGTCACCGTGCCGTGTACCCCGCACCCTCACACTGAGGGGTGTTGGTCCGAGTCCCCTGTATCTCCTGCAGCCTTCACAGGCCCATTTCTCACCTGTATCAAACATGACAAACAACCTGGCACCTCCCGCAGCCAGTGTTTTAAGCCCCTCCCTATTTGAGGAGTCCGGGTCGCAGTAGTAGAGCTTGGAGAAAAAGATGGTCAGTGTCACATTGCGGTGACCAGCCAGGAATGTTGTCAACTCTTCGGCACACTCTGAGCAGGGGCTCCAGGACATATAAAAGGTGACCCTGTAGGAATTACCAGGGCACAGCCAGTTGTCATGGAACCAGGAGAGGAAGCGAAGCTCTGCATGCAATCGTGTGTAGGGGTGGTCCTGGGAGAGGCGAGAAGGGCCAGGTCTGCGGTTAGAGAGGCAGGCAGCTCAGGGAGGGGACACGGTTTAGGGAGGGGACGGGGCAGATGCCGGGGGTCCCAGGCATCGCTTTTGGGGACGCACTCATGTCTGCATCCCTCCCCAAGCTCTCACCGTGGCCCTCCCTCCCCACACACACACGGACCCCTCATCCGTTCAGCTCCTCCCGGGAAGCAAGCAAGCACACTGAGCTCTGGTCTCCATCTCATCCCCCTGCCATCCTAGGAAGGGACACAGCTCTTCCCATCGGGGTCCATGGTGATGGGTGAGACAGGACTTGTCTGGCTGGAGGCAGCGGCCTCTGTGACATACAGGGCTCCCCGCCTACCTCGTGGAGCGCCCCCTAATGACTAGACGGGGTCTATATAATAATATGGCAGGTATACTCCACTCAGTAAGGCATTCACATTTATTCCATTCATACCTAGCAACTTTTTAAACTGTGGGCACTAGAGAAATGGACACACAGAGGGCCCAGCCCCCAAACACCAGGAAAGCTGAGGTCTGGGAGACAGAGGGGCAGGGGTGTGGCAGGTCATTTGCAGGTGGCCAGTGGGGTGGCACTGGGACTGCAGGTGCTGATCACCTGGGAGCCCCAGAGAGGCTGGAGCAGCAGGATCAGGGAGAAGCGGGATCTGTGCTCAGTGACAGCAGATCCGCACTGTGGAGGCTCAGGGCTGGCAGGGCCAGAACCAACCAGCCCAGTGGGCGCAAGACAGATAAGGCCCCGTGGGCTCGCGGTGCCTGACCATGGAGATGCCCTGACCTCGGGGACCGCTAGGTGTGTGGCCAAGTGACACAGGCCAGGCACAAGCGCTGCTAGAGTGCAATAACACCTGTGAATGAGGCCAGCTGGGAGAAGTCACAGGGTGTCATCGACAGGGTGCAGGGCAGCCAGGCTGGACCAGCAGGGCCCAGGACTGCACCGTGTGGCTTTTACTGATCCTTTGTTCTGCATTCTCACCCGGCCTAGCTCTCACCTGTGCTAGAGGGGAGGCTGGAGGTTACCTGATTTTGAAAGACCCCATTGCGAAGAAATCTGTTTTTCTGCTTGCTTTCTATTGTATAGCACAGGAAGGTCTTATGCCAACCATCAGGATTGGGTAGGTTTTCGAAGTGGAACTTGAATGTTCGTTTATGTAGCTTTCGCATCGGCTCTCTGGACACAGGAGAGAAAACAGAAACTCCAGAGGGGCCCTGCGGTGACTCCAAGCCACAGTCCCCTACACACAGGACCCCAGAGTCCCATGGATGGCGCCTCCCCGCAGCCCTCCAGGCCTTAAGAATCCTGCAGCCTTTCCAGGCTGGAAGACAGGAGGGCAGAGGAGGGCATGGGCCGGACGGGCCCTTCCACCCGAGGCCCCGCTCTGCTGCTTCCAGTGGGACACCGCGCCGCCCTGTGTTCCTGCCCTTTCATCCCAAGCCAGGAGAAAATGTCCAAGACACAAAGCCCTGTCAGACTGAAGGAATACCTTCTAACCTCCAGTCCTGTTCACTCCTGACTCTCCACCTCTGTGGGCTACATCTGTTGAAAAGTCAGGGTAGGCCCTCAGTTCACACACAGCAGCCGCTCTGGTGAGCACTTCCTGTCTGGACACATGGGGTCCCTTGGGAGCCACCCACTGCCAGGTGCGGAGTCGTGTGGGGGTCGCCCTCCCAATCGCTCAGCGGGCAGAGGTGGGCGCTGGGTCCTCCACCCAGGTCAGCCCAAGTCCTACTGTACCAGTGGCGGTGTCCTTGGTTAAGGAAGGGAACCAAGACCTTAACATGGAGAAAGCCAAGGTGATCTAATCAACTCCTTTGTGCTAGTTGTAAAGCTGACCTTCTCTGTAACCTGAACCATTACCAAACATGGAAGACAAAGGAGCACAAATTGTACCAAAGGTAACCCCCACCCCACCTCCTGCTGGGCTGTGCTGGGGGCTCAGCCTTTACTGTATTAACCCCTCAGCCAGTTCCCGCTCGAGTACAGCTGCCTCCTAGAGAAAACAGCCTCGGTGTCCAGACTCTGTGCGGCTCTCTGATACAGTGGTCATATCGCCTGAACAACAGGTGTTTGCGACAGGAGTTTCACGTAAGCATTCTAATTCCTCTCCGCCAGATAGCATTGTAGTACACGGTGACTCCCCAGGCTCTGCTGATCACTGTCCTGACCACAGTGCAGCCCGCCCGGGAGCCACTTTCCCGCCTTAGAGAGCGCGTCCCCGCCGCCCTCCCCAACGCAGCGCTAGGCCAGCACAGGTCACCGAGAATTCTGTCAAGTGTTTGACCCAAACGCCAAGGGCTCAGTCAAGCTGCCTGTTAAATCCTGATTGTGAACGGAGCGCCC